ATGACCTTGAACATTCATATGGTACTCACATTGCACATTGGGATCATACCACATGGGATAAGGAGGTTGCATGGGTTCCACGTATAACGGTTCCACAAGACCTTGTTGGATGAGCTGATGAAGTAATTACGTATACGTCATGGGAATTTGGGCAAACTTGAATTTCTCTTAATGAGACGTGTACCCCATTTGTTGGTCCTTTGGAATGGTTGATTCTGAGCCAAGTGAAAATGTTGGCATTCTCTTTGATATTGGGGGATACTTATGAGATTGAAGGCTTGGTTGAGGAACCGACTGGTATGGGTAGGGAGCATGGTCCACATACGAGTTTGTTAGTGGAAGTGATGGATAAGGATAATAAGGAGGGTATGGGTAACATGGGTCATACGACCTCGAGTGATCAAATTGTTGTCCTTCAGAGCTAACTAATGGTATTCCTATGCCACTCTGCATTCCTGTTTGACCCTTTTTTGGTCCTGGCCTTTTCCCGTTTCTAACTTTTCTTAACATGAAATTAGCTCTACTAAGGAGGCATGAGGTATCAGTTGGCGGTCTAGGCACGAATGGGGTTTGAACCACAAGTAGAGAATTTGACTGGTTGGGATCGATTTGGTTGGGTTCAACACTTCCTGATTGTCCCACACTGATACTATCTATGTTCATTGTCGTATCCTGCCCTTCTGACACTGGATGATCTTCTTTTGCAGTTTTTCCCCTCAGTTCTGCTAACTGATGTTTCATCCTGCTCATCTGCCTTTGCAATTCCTCATTCTCCTTCTTCATCTGCTGGTACTCAGTTAACTGTTCTCCTTCCATTGCTTTTGTTAAATCTTTCAAAACTGTTCAAATTTGAGAACTATCAGAACTTTTTCCTTTGATGGATAAACACCACTTTCTCATTCGAAATGAAGCTAAAGCTATCCATGAGATGTATGAGTGAATGCCATGGCATGATGAATGGATGGACAAATGAATGCATGAGGTAAAGATGAGTATATGATGTCTTGAAACATGAAATTCATACAGGCAAATGAAGGATTAAGCTAAACTCAGTGAACTTCCTCTCTCCATTGATATTAACCGTCATTACATTGTACCATTACACTCAATTTCTTAACTATATACAAGACTGATTACAAAATGACTAAATTTTAAACAACCCTTCTTGATATCTTTAGTATCAGCATGTGGAATTCAAGCCTCTCAAGATGAGATCACTGAGTATCTTCTGAGGCTTCCCGGAACCTAGATAATGAAGCTTGATTGAAATTGGGATTACCATCTGCCTTAAAAGTTAATTCCCCCTCTTTGATCAACCTTTGCACTTCCTCCTTCAGCCTTGGGAAATTTTCAGTAGAGTGACCTTGAGTTGCCGAGTGATAAGCACAATAAGCGTTGGCATTGTACATGTTGGCTGTGGGTGCTTCATTGGGTTGGCGCAAGGTAGGAATGCAACCAGACCTTGTTGCAAAAGCTGAGGGAATAGCTCAGTATAAGTGCAAGGGATTGGTATCAGATCCGTAAGCTCAACAGGTTCCCTTTTTGGACTTAGAGGTTGGGACCTTAGCTGGGATTTTGGTTGAGATTTTGGCCTATGGATGGGTGGTCGAAATGGAGTGTTTGGCCGAAAATTTGGTCGAGGCTGATGAAAGTCAGATGGGTTCCTCCATTGACCGAAGTTTTGTGGGTGATAAGTTGGAGGGTAGACATGCGGATCATTTAATTGGACAAAGTTGTTCTGTGATTGCATTGCACCAAAAGATTCCACTTTTGTCACGCAAGACTTGAGCTCTTCCACTTGCTTGGTCAACTCATCCATCCCATTTGCAATCTTGCTTAAGTCTTCAGTATTGTCTGAGCTAGTAGTGCCTTCAGTGGCATATTCTGACTTCCCATTACCAAATTGAGCCTGTTGCGCCTCGGCCCTAGCCATCATCTTATAAGCTTCCTCCGCATCCCCGGACATGATCAATGATTTTAAAACATGTTTCTTCAACCCGCCTCTTCTGCCATGATTTCTTGCCTGCATCTTAGCTCCATGATATCAACTTGCATCGTCCTCCATTCACACTCCATCCGCTGCATTCGTGCTTCCAATGAGTCTCACATACTTCCTCGATACCTTTGACTCCTAACTAAACTCTCTATAGAAAAAGCCCGAGTAAGTAATATTTACAAGTAATCTAGATGTACAATCTATTTATAAATGATGGTGATAATGAATGCATGAGCATATGTACCAATGCATAACATGAGGTCTTGGCGATGATAAGAAAGCACTTAGAAGTATGATGGTGACATGGCAATGGTGACAAATGCATAATGTGCATGATCGACTATGTGTAATGTGACTATCGTAGGATATGAATGCATGATGCTAAAAAGAAAGGAATAAAGAAAATAAGGAAAGAAGTTAGTAACCACAAGGCCTCTTACTGGATCTAAAGGTTCCCAGTCTGTCCTTACTGTCGCCCACTCTAGGCTAGTAAGGTCTAGGCTGAGTGGAAGTATTTGGCAAAACCCGCACGGAGACGATTGTCACACGAAGGTTAGCTACTTTATTTCCTCCTGAAGGGATAGAGCTCTAGTATAAGCTCATGCGGAATGAAAATGCAAGTTACTTAGTGCACGTGTGAAGGAACATACAAACCTTTACCAACAATTCCTAACCCAATGACTAAACTACACCCTAATAAAAGAAACAAAGCATGATAAGTTAGGCAGAATATATACAAGAATATGAAAGCATGTAAGCATGAAAAAACATAAAGATAGGCAAGAATAAACAAGGATAAACAGACATGAATAAACAAGAGTAAAATGCAAGCAGACAACCCATTATGCGAACCCTAGTTAACTCTAAACTAGAATTCAATTTGACCCTCTAACCAGTCCCCAGCTGAGTCGCCAAGCTGTCGCAACGTCCGGGTCCGGGGTCCTGAACCATACCGTTTAACGACTTAAAAGAAAACTAACTACGGAGTCGCCACTAATCTTTTTTTTACCTAGGTGTGATTAGCCACCTATCAAATTATTAGGCCTAATATTAACCTAAGCTTGGCAAAGGTAATACTAAACCTAACATGGTCTATTAACCAGAGTCTTAAAGGTTTGGGAGTCGGGTACGCGTGGGGAAGGATTAGCACCCCCACGACGCCCGTCAAAAGACGGCACTGACTAGTCTAGACTTGACTATGGGTTTCTATTATTGGTTGTCTTTATGCTTAAATATTTTCATGCCATTAAACTCTTTTATTAATCTTTGAAATAAAATAAACAAGCAAAAATGGATTTTGCATTTTGAAATATAGGAATGTTGGGAACTTTCTCGTTTACTATTTGTTCTCTTTCTGGGCTCCTCATGAGAGGATTTTCTTTAAAACTTACAATTAAAACGACTCTATTTGAAAAATGCTGTGGAGCGAAACTTTCTCACGTTTTGAATTGAAATCTGAAACTGACGGAAACTTTCCCTAAATTGAAAACTAAGACCTGATGGGAACTTTCCCAATTTGAAAACTTTGACAATTTGATGGGAACCTTCCCATTTTGAAAACTTGGAAAAACTTCATTTTGATTTTGTATTTTGAATTTTTTTGGATTTTTTGAAAACCTTTTTTATTTAATTTTTAAAGACTCAGCTTTTTATTTTATTTTTTATCTTGGAAAACTAAAAGAGAACAATTCTCAAGCACAAACTCTTTTTAATTTTGGAGAAAATAGTTTTATTCTATTTTCAATTTTTTTCAGATTTTCTTTAACTATTAATTGAAAATTACTAAGTTTAACCTTAAATGCAAGAATGCAAATGATGCATGAAATTCCATTTTAATTTACCCATCAGTTATACGAGGAATGCCTTTAACTGCCTCCCAATAAATGCTAAACGATCTCCGGAAATTTCCAAACCTCCGGGAGAAGGCGAGCAAACTCATACACGTATTAATGAGCCGTCCTCCTTTCCCATCACGGGATATTTTAATTTGAGTCTCTCATGAGCATGACAATATAGTAATTTTGCAACAATTTATAAAATAAACATGAATGCAGATGCTTGGTTAATCCAATTTTTCTTTTTTCCTTCTTCTTTTTTTTATTCTCCAATTTTATGAAACCTAATAGCTAGACTAATTGTAGAAATAGACCTTCAATTAAAATCTTAGGCCCAAGTTGCATAAGAACCCACATGAAAACAAATCAACAATGGCCAAACTATAACCCCAAAGCCCCCGAATTATAAAACTAAACCCAAAATACAATCCTAAGCTATTTTAGAGCCCAAGTCAGAATATTGAAACCCAAACTAAAACTTAGCCCAATTGAGGGGTCAACCCAACTAACTAATCTAAAGCCCAAACAGTACAAGGTGACAATTTAAAAAAAAAAGGTCCAACAGAAATTGTTAAAGAAAACCATCCTAAATCAACTAAAGACCCAACCCCAATTCTAACCTAGTCCAAATTCCTATATTCCAAAATTAACTTTACTAGAATTTATTTATCTCGTTTTTTTCACCTAAAATCTAACAATTTTCTCTGAAATTTCCAACATTTAATCATGGAGCTACTATACTTATAAATTACCAACCATCTCTAATTTCTTAAGCCAAGTTTATTCCTGGATTACTAAGGTAAAGATATGTATATCTTGAATATCTAATTCCAAAACAACTAGGTTCCTAAGTTACTACAAATTACTGCCTAACCATCTTAGTTTCAATCACCAAAATCATTTTATTGACTGACTATTTCACCAAAAAAAGGATGCTAACTACTAAACTAAAAGTTGAGCCCAAAACAGAAACTTAAAAAGTCAAAGTCTAATTTCTCAAGGACTCATCCGCGTGGAAAACAGAACTAGCATCCAAATACCATGATTTAGACACTAACCTGCATAACTAATGAATATTTTACTTAAATTCATAATATATCACGTAAATATCATATGCCTATAAAAGCTAACGTTTTCACCACGTTCAGAATCTCTTTATTCTAAAAGAAATGTACCTCGACCTGTTAGTCCACCGGAAATTGCCCCGCCGTTACCACAACCAAGAACCACCGTCACTATCGTTGCCAGAGTTTCCTTTTGCCGTTGAAAAAGAACCGTTCGGCTCCTCTTCCACCGCTGACCTGGGATCTGGCCTTATCTTCCTCAAACGTCGCCCCAACGTGCCTCGAATAAACCCAAACCGAGCTACTTTCAACCTTAGATCTGCCTTATCTAACCGCCGGATCAAGCTATGTTTCGGGTATGTCTCCCTCCACTCTCTCCTCTATGCTTCCACCGAACCAAATTTAGATTTGAGCTCTCTAAATTTTAAGATCCTAGTTATGAAGTCTGTGAATTCTAATGAGACTTTTTTTTCTTTTTTTTTCTTTTTTTATGTTTTGTTTAAGGTGAGGTTCTTATAATATAAGGAGGGGGATGAGGAAAAGTAAGGAAGTGAAAAACGGAGGAGCCACAGAAAAGGTAAAAGCTTTTTTCTTTCGGTTTTTTTTTGTTTCTAATGTTACTGCTGAATAAAAGGAAGAAGTAAGAAAGTCTCCCTCTTTTTTTTGGTGTTTCTGCTAAAGCTTGGGAAAGGAATTTTTTTTTTTTGTATTTCTTTGATGAACTGGACTGGTAACGATGAGAGACTTTAATGGAGCAAGAAGAAAATGAAACTATCAAATTTTTTGGGTTTTCTTTGTTTGGTGCTACTGACTAAACTAGAAAAGTTAAGGGACTAGACTTTTTCTTTGATTTTTGAGAAGGATTACTGCAATTGGGAAGGGGAAAAAAAATCTCTGCTATGCTAAAGATGATTGGAAGAAAACCTTCCTTTTTTTTTCTATGATGGAGAGAAAAATATCAACTTTTTATTCTTAGACTCTGCTAGCGTTTTTTTTTTGAAACTGTCTACTAGGGTTTTCTTTTGAAAACTATGCCTCCTTATTCCTGAGGTTTTTAGCTACTTTATATACCCGGGTCATTTTTATTTTTGATCGTTGAATTTCTTCCTATTTTTGGTCTAATGGTTACAAAAAATCCACGTATTCAAGTCTTTGATTGGTTTGTATGCTGCTGAAGTGGCAAATGATTTGTTGGTACTGAACTTCATTGTTGAGCTTACCACACGTGACATTTTGTGTAACCAATTCTTGCCTTGCTTTTTATCTGAGTTGGCTTGGGCAATGCTGACATGGAATTTTATGTGTCCTGAGATTTTTGTCTTCCTGCTGATGTGTACTGAGCCAACATCCTGATTTGCCATTGTCTTGTGCTGGCATGTGCTGGTAGTGTGTTAGTCTACAAAGGAGACTCTGTGCAACTGTTTTACTCACTGGTGTTCCTGTCTATTTTTCTTCTCATGTGCTTACCTTATTATACGCTTTGTCCTTGATGATCCCGTTTTTTTTTGTTGTAATTTGATCCATTGGTGATTGCTCAAGTCTGCTTTTAGCCCATATGCCACTGTTTTGTCCTCCTGATCATGGTCTAATTGTTTCTCTTTGTCCTTGTAGGTGATGTGGCGAGGGAAGTAAAGTAATGGGAAGAGGTCACATGTCCAACAAATTGTAATCAGCATTGTAATTGTAATATATATTGAAACTAAATAAAGTTATTCCTCTTCTTTTAAAGACTTTGGACTTTTGTTAGCTTAAATTAATTACAGCACAAATGGATTTAGATTGAGTTGGACCGAAAGCAAAGGGACCAAGGGCCCAAGATTTGAAATGAATCAAGTTAAAGTATACGGCTCATTAAAATAAAAAGTGAAACCCTCGAGTGAAATAAAGAAAGCTAAAAGCTCAATGACCAGCATATATCCAAATAAAATGGGCTCTAGAAAGATTGAATTTGGGTTTTAAAAGATGGATTAATGAATTTGACACAATTTTAACTATCCAAATTTTAACCTCAAAACCCATCACTAAGTTTCACCTAATAATTTATTCTAAATCTTAAATTGGGTGTCTACAACGCCCTTGAAGTCCACTTCTCAGACCATGACGCCACCACCGCCGGGTTTCACGGCAAAGGACGTACAACAACAAACGCCAAGCAGCCTACCACCCGACGGCCTCCCGACGATTTCAGCCCACGGGATGCAGCATATGTTTGGCTACATGCCATAATACTGCCCTCCACCACTCAACTTCCAAGGTGCTTCCTTTTCAGCCACGCCGTAGCCGTTGGCTTTCCAACCCCCGCCTGGAGGGCAGGATGGGGTCGCCGAGATGGTGAAGGCCTTAATAGCACAATTCCAGCAAGACCGTCAAGAGGCAAAAGAAAGACAAACTAGGGAGGAAGCTAGGATCGCCGCACTAGAAAACACACTATTGAGAGCAAACACTCAACCTTTTGCGGACGCTGCACACCGCCGAGGTGAGAGAACTCCTACTCCAGGAGACTCTCGCGACCCACCAAACATGGAAGAGTTGGGTCTGCCGAGTAACGAAGAATACTACGACAACGACGACCGCCGTTCAGAAGAAGATCCCACTCATTACCCTCATGACACATCAACAGATGAACGTGTCTATGAAATTGATGATGTACCAACAAACTCTTCCCAAGCAGACAGAGCTCTACGACGGTCAGTGAGGGATCAGGTGGTGCAAAACAACACCCCGGCCGTCCAAACCCCGGTTCAACAACTACAAGCCTAAACCACTGTCGAAAACAAGTTAAATGAGTTAAGGGAACAATTCCGCCGTGAGATGGACGAACGACTCAATAGACAGAGAACGGCGACCGCCGAGGAAACCATCCAAATGATGAGCGGAGTTACCTCCCCACTTTTCATGGTAATCATGCAAGCTGTGGTTCCATCGGGAACGAAATTACCAAAAATTAAATATGATGGAACGAGAGACCCCCAGGAACACCTGAGCCAATTCAAGGAGCTTATGCTCTTGCAAAATCTTTCAGAAGATATTATGTGCCGCATTTTTCAAACAACCCTAACAAGGGCAGCTAGGGCTTGGTTTTACAGAATAAGGCTGGTCGGCTCCATTGTCAACTTTACAATGCTATGCCAAGCCTTCCTTTCTAACTTCCATAGTCGAACGAGGATTGGAAAGACGATGGACGATCTGTTTTCCATCAAACAAGAAATGAATGAAAGCCTGGAAGCTTTTACAAAGCGTTTTTCAAATGCTTGCTTGGCAAATGGCGAATGTGCGTGGATTTCACCAACTTAAACAAGGCATGCCCTAAGGACAGCTTTCCCCTCTCGTCGATTGACAGGCTCGTGGATGCTTCGTCGGGACATAAATTTCTGGGCTTCATGAATGCATACTCCGGTTATAACCAGATACCAATGGATCCTAGAGATGCAGAAAAAACCTCCTTCATCACAGAGGATGGCTTATACTGCTAAAACGTGATGCCGTTTGGACTGAAGTACGCTGGAGATACATACCAGAGGCTGGTGAACAAAATCTTCAAAGAGATGATCGGCAAGTGCATGGAAGTGTACGTGGATGATATGTTGATTAAAAGCTCATCCATGGAACAACACCCGAAGGATCTCGCTGAGTGCTTTGACTACTCGAGAGCTTACAAAATGAAGCTGAACCCATCAAAGTGCACGTTCAGCGTGGAAGCTGGAAAGTTCCCGGGTTTCATGGTGTCAAGTAGAGGAATAGAGGCAAACTCGGAAAAAATCAAGGCCATCATTGAAATGGAGCCCCCTAACACTGTCAAGAAAATACAAGAATCAACTGGGCGGATAGCAGCATTGAACAGATTTGTTTCCAAATCAGCCGAAAGATGCTTGCCATTTTTTAAAATCCTTCTGTCTAAGACAAAATTACCCTTTGTCGAACATTGCAGCAGAATATGAAGCACTGATAGCGGGGCTAGAAATTGCTAGACGAATGAGAGCCAGTCACCTTAAAGTCTTCAGCGACTCCCAGATTGTCACTAAGCAAACCAGCGGCGAATATGAGGCCAAAAAACCAAGTATGGCAGAATACAGTAAAAAAGTGCAAGAGCTGTGGAGCACGTTCGACAAGATCACCTTGCAACAGGTACTAAGGGACGAAAATACCCGAGTAGATGCACTCTCTAAGTTGGCATCGTCCAATGTGGAATCAGCCAGAGGCAAAGTATTCATGGAGTATGTGGAAAAGCCAGCCTACATAAGAAAAGCCCAAGTGCTCACCATAGAAGAAGAGGTAGCGCCCAATTGGAAAACTGAAATTATTGATTATCTGAACGGCATTCGCCCGAAGCTGGATCCTAAGGAAGCATTGGCAAGACAGAGGCGAGTGGCAAGATATGTTTTGATCGATGGGGTCTTATACAAAAAGTCCTTCATACTTCCCCTCCTTAAGTGCCTGGGACCAACTGAGGCAAACTATGTTTTAAAAGAAATTCACCAAGGAGTATGTGGAAACCACATGGGAGGGAGATCAGTCGCCCAAAAAGCTCTCAAACAGGGATATTATTGGCTAACAATGCGAGCAGACGCAATCAGCCTAGTGCAGAAATGCTTCAAATGCCAAGAGTTTGCAAAGGTGTCAAGATTTCTAGCAGAAGAACTCAATGTAATCAAAGCAGCCTGGTCGTTCGCCATGTGGGGAATGGACCTGATTGGCCCACTCCCCAAAGCCTCAGGGAACCTGAAGTTTGCAATTGTGGCGTGAGATTATTTCACCAAATGGGTGGAAGCAGAACCCCTAGCGACCATCAATCAAGATTCGGTGGAAGACTTCTTGTGGAAGAACATATTTTGCAGATTTGGCTTGCCCAACGCCATAGTATCAGACATTGGTCTGCAACTGCAAGCTCAGCACATACAAGAACTCTATAAGAAGTTCCATGTAAAGCTCATTGCCAGCTCGATTGTCTACCCCAAGACAAATGGCCACGTAGAGTCCACGAATGCCAAGATCCTGTCGCCATTAAAAAAGAAGTTGGAATCCAAGAAAGTAAAATGGATCGAAGAATTTCATGATGTCATATGGGCCATAAGGACCACCTCCCATACGGGAACAAGGGAAACACCATTCAACATGGCGTTCAGCACAGAAGCTGTAGTGCTAGCCGAAATAGGGGTTAAAACATTCAGAACATCCCCTTTGTTCGACCCAGAAAAGAATGAAGAAGAGCTTCAAACCAACTTAGACATACCTGAGGAAGTTAGAGAAGCAGCACAACTGAGGCAGGCGAACAGGGCCCAAAAAATCAGCCAATACTACAATCAGCGCGTTCGACATAGACAATTTCAGATTGGAGACCTGGTAATAAGGAGCTTTGCAGCTAGCTGGACCCACTTCCGAGAAAAAGAAGATGTCCCTTAATTGGGAAGGGCTTTACAAAGTCACGCATGTGCTTGGCAAAGGAGCTTACAAGTTGCAGTGGATGGACGGGACGCCAGTACCAAGGATTTGGAACGCTATTCACTTGAAGAAATATTACCAACAAATTGTAATAGGAAATCATACTTTGTCCCACAATCAATGAAAGTGTTGTCCACATTGCTAGCCCCAACTTATGTTACTTTAAATTTTACCTTGAATGATCATTCTATAGAACTTCATGTACTCAAAATTCTACTAATTTAATGAGAAGTTACACTGACTTAGGCAAATGACAGCCGGTCAGATTTCCTACAAATTTTGTGTAAGTTAGTAAACATCCATGAAACAAGAAATGAAAAAATACATACGACGAACGCTAGAAAGAAGCTCAACGCCAGTAGGCAGGGCGGCCGACGAGATATTAACCCTGACCTAGCATGACCCCGACTGGCAGGAGATCGGCACGAACCATCCCTAACCAAGTATGGGAAGAATAACGCCCTCAAAAGGGTTCAACGCCAACCGACGAGCACCAAGCATAAGCTGGCCTCGATCAAAGATATGGCCCCCAACTGGCAGGAGATTGGCACAAACCATCATTGACCAAGTATGGGAAGACAGCACCCCTAAAGGGCTCAACGCCAGTCGACGAGCGCCGGTTCTAAGTCGGCCTCGGTCAAAGTATGGCCCCCGATTGGCAGGAGATCGGCACGAACCATCCTTGACCAAATAAGGGAAGAAGAGCATCCTCAAAAGACCTAACACCACCCCCCGAGCGCCAGACGCAGAACCAAACTCGACCAAACATGATCCATCATCCGCGATCACCCCATACAAACTGCACAAACACGAGGAAGAAAAAGCCCGCAACATTCGGTGATGGTTAAGTAACAAAAGCGAAAGAACGCCGAACGAGGTACCGCAAAAAGGGACACGAAGTCAGGGAAAATCCTAAGCGGGAAAAATAGAATCTTGAGATTCAAAAATTGAAAATTCGAAATTTAACCTCCCAAAAACCCCTATAAATACTAATACCCTCAGTACAAAATTTCCACCAGCAAAATTAACCTTGAAAGCGACGGTTCATTCCCTCAATATCCTTTCTCTTCACGCTTTCACCTTTCTTAAAAAAAAAATGGCTAACTTACCACCCCTCCCCCAAGTTCTCTTCACTGACGAATTAAACGCAACAATTAGAATACTAGAGAACATTTTGGGAATCACACACCCCAACAGGCACTTCCTCCCTACGGACCTCATGATGCGAACTTTGTGCCTCACTTACATTGATAGGATTGGTGAAATAGATCGAGACGCTGGTGATCGTGTCGTCTATGACCATAAAAAATAATCCCCACAATAAACTAACTAGAATAGCTAGGGCAAGTACGGCTCGAATCCCACAGAGAAAGGTTATGTGATGAACGATAGAGAATAAAAAAAAATCTTTTCCAAAAATCAAATAGAAAACAGGGGATTGTGAATATCAATTATAAAGAAAACAATTAAACTAAAAATAAAGCAAAGCAAATTAAATCTAAATCTAAATCAGAATATAACGCAAACAATAATTATAAAGCATACTTCTTCTCCGATGGTATGATTCAATCAGATTAACTATGGATCATCGACTTAAAAGGTGAATTAAGCATCTTATTCTTGACTGACAACTGATATAGGTTTCCCAACATGTATTTTAGATAAGAGGCCGATTAAAGCTGTAATTATCCCTTTTATTCCTTCAGCAATCGATTACTTTCTTAGGGCTTAAAGATCACTTAAGAACAAAGCATTAAGATTAATTAATTTTACACACATGCCTACAAAGTAGAACCATACGAAGAGAAATTTCTCGCCCTCCGATAGACAAATACCCATTAAACAGCGATTAAACAAACCTAATTTGCTACACACAATCAAACTTGAGTGATTAATTCTAAGCTTGATCTAGCCATAGATCTTCCTCTTACATCGTTAGTGGCCACATAACTCAAATAAGATTCAGAATCATAAAATTATTCTAGGGTTTTGACTACTATCATCAAGAACTTAACACAAAATTATAAGTATAGAAATCTTACCATAATCAATTGATTGAATTCACCAAAGGATCAGAAGTATTAAGGATTTAGCTACTCATGGACTTAGGAAAATCCATGAGAGGTATAAGAATACTTACAGAACAAAGGAGGAACGATTTCTCCTCCTTGAAACCCTAGGGACGTCGCACCCCTCTATGGCTAGAGAGGGTGTCGACTTCTCCCTCTTCTAAAACTAGAGAAAACCTAAAAATAAAGAAAGGTAGAAAAAGAGAATTATCTAAAATTTGTGATGTGTAAAGTTGTGTGATTTGTGATACAGGAGGTGGCTTTTTATAGTGGAGGAATAGGGTAGGACGGTTTAGAGGCTGACTTAGACTCCAAGTTGGATTAGGTGTCATCCTAGTGTAGAATCCAAGTCAAAAGAGGATTCTAGAATTTTCTGGAATCTGGCAGGAACTTCGACGTCAAATTCGGGCTTGAATATGGCAGATCTCGGCTTTGCACTTCAAAAGAAAGTTGTAGAGCTCGGAGTTAGCTTTCCAAGGGCTACTCTTGGGCTTAAAACGGACATCTGAGCATAAAGTTATGGTCTTTCTACGAAGACTGCGCTGAAACCGGTGTGAAACGGACATCCGGCAAGTTAGAGATGCTCAAGCTAACTATGTGAACACCTTTGTTCCAAAGGTGGAGATACCCGAATTTGATGGGAGAGGCCAACCCGATGACTTCCTTGAATGGTTACATACGGTGGAAAGAATTTTTCAGTACCAAGATGTGCCCGAGAACAAGCAAGTGAAGCTTGTAGCTATCAAGTTTAGAAAACATGCCTCTTTGTGGTGGGAAAATTTGAGGATGCAAAGAGAAAGAAAAGGCAAAGAAAAGGTTAGAACTTGGGACAAAATGGTGCGTGAACTCAAGAAGAAGTTTCTGCCCGAGGACTACAAGCAAGATGTATTTCTCAAGCTCCAAAATTTGAAACAAGGGTCCATGAGTGTCCTAGACTATACGGCTGAATTTGATGCCTTGATGATCAAAGCCAACATCAATGAACCCGAGGAGCAAACTATAGCAAGGTACTTAGCTGGTTTGAAAATTTTGATTGCTAATATTGTTGTTTTACAGCCTTATAGGACCTTAAATGATGTGATCAAATTAACCCTTCGAGTGGAGAAACAAGTTAAAAACAAATCTGTTGTAAAACTTGATGAAAGAGAGCTTAGCGAGGAAACTACTCCAAAAGCTCCATTTGTGCCAAAATGCAACGTTAATGGTGATGCAAAAGATAAGGGCAAAAAGGCAGCAGATGATAGTGGGAAAACAAAGTTGAGGCCAGAAAAGAAGTGTTTCAAATGCCATGGATTCGGTCATATTGCTTCTGATTGTCCAAATCGCCAAGTTATTGCGTTGATTGAAGGAAGTGATGATGATAGTGAAAAGAATGAGTTGGAGGCCGAACAAGCACATGAGGAAGAAGTACTTGTCCATGCCGACCAAGGGGAATCTCTTGTTGTTCAAAAAGTTCTCCATATCACTCAAACTAGCCCGGGGGAAGATTGGAAAAGAAAGAATGTCTTTCACACCCGATGCACTTGCCAAGGAAAAATTTGCATGGTGATTATTGATAGTGGAAGTTTTGAGAACCTTGCCTCGATGGAGATGGTCCAAAAGCTCGGGTTGAAGACCATTCCACAGCCCACACCCTACAAATTGAGTTGGTTGAAAGATGAGTCAGATTTGAAGTAAACTCTAAATGCCAAGTAGTTTTTTCCATTGGTAAATATTATTCAGATGAAGTTGAATGTGATGTAGTGCCTATGGATGCTTGTCATTTATTACTTGGAAGTCCTTGGTTGTATGATAGACATGTTATTTATGATGGCCATGCTCACACTTACACCTTAAAGAAAGATGGCCGAAAGATCACACTAGCTCCATTGAAACCTAAAACAACACCTACACCAAAAATGGAGAACTTGTTGTCAAGTAGGGGTCTTGTTCCTTATGTTCATGAAGGTACTTCAAATTTTTTTCAACCGGGGGAGAATGACACGGGAGTGTCCCATATGAGTCATGAAGGTGATTCGGGTGAAGAAGACGAATTTAGTAAAGCAAGCACCACGCCATGTAAGCACCTTGCTTTAATGACATGTCACTTTAAATGGGACCAAGGAAGCCACGTTGGATGGAAGCTAGCACCTCTCCAAGTTGATGCCTATGTGGAAGCAAGCACCTCTCATTTCATGACACATGTTAATGACCCACCTTTCTCCATGTGACACGTGTAAGTCAACTTTGGAGGCTTGGAAAACCCATGGATGAAGCTCTCTCTTTTGGTTGGATGAAAATGCAAATTGATGGCAAGTTAAACAAGTTGATAAAACTTCATCATTTTGTGCATGGAAAGATGGAATTCGGCCACCTAAATCCAAAATGGGTTCATACTACTTTTGAGCACCTAATTAGCATTTCTAGCTAATTTGGGGCTGTTTTAATTAAGTTGTAATTTACTTAAGTTAAACTTGTTTAATTAGCTTTAGTTAAGTGTGTTTAAGTGCTAAATAGCCTATATAAGCTATTTTGAGCACTATAGCAAATCAGATTTGAATTTTGTAAACTTTGAACTTTTGTTCTTGCTTTGAAAACCTTGTCTAGGTGATCAAGCTTGTCCCTATGTCAATTTGAGTGGTGTAATATGTATCTCATCTTGATTTGGAGCTAATAGAAGTTTCTGTATCCATAGAATTCATCTTGTGGTGAAATCTGTATCAAGTTGTGTTCTTTGGTGGTGAGCTTCGACCGGTTCTTCAATTGGTGGTGAAATCTGTATCCAATTGCTCTTGAGCCCGTGTGCTTAAATCTTTATTTTCTTGTTGAATCCCTTCCCTTAATAATCCAAATACTTCAAATTCTACCTTTCTTGTGAATTTTTAGGTGTTTAAATTCATTTAAGCACTTGAACAAAAATTCTGATTTTATAGCAACTCATTAAATCTCTTACTTTGAGCCATCCCCGTATCAATAAGTGTAGTTTCAATAAAAATTAAACACAAGTTCTAGAAATAGGCAATCATAGAAATAATCCATGGTAAGCAATTATCACAGACTTCAATTATACCTAATCTAACAAATAAGATATCATACTATAAATCAATTAATGAATCAAACATTCTTAAAAATTCTAAGATATCATCAATCAAAAATCAAATCAATAACTCAAAATATGCATATAAAATCAAAATTTTATCAAAATTTTCGAAAAAATTATACGCTTTATGCATAAAATTGGTCAAATTGGTATAATTTTAAGGCAAATAAGATTAATTTGTTCACTCCCCCACACTTAAAAGATACATTGTCCCCAATGTATTAACAAGCGTGGTAAATCAAAGTAAAAATAAATATGCATCTTTAAAATCCTAACTAACCTATATAACCTATATCTATATCTATATGAATCGCATATCAAAGAAAAATCAATCAAAGCATTGCAAGAAAAAGATAGAGTTAAAAAAGCTTCTCTATTCTCCAAGCATAGGCTCCAATTAGATCCAATGAGGATTTGGAATCGGCAAGGGGCATATTCTCCATTTAATTTCTCTTGCTTTGCAATTGTCCAAAACGTAAGCTCCTATTGCTCCTTTGGTATGGAAATCCTAAAAAAGAAAAGAAAAATAAAACAAAGGAAATTATGGGTTAGTAAAATAATATTGGGTTGCCTCCCAATAAGCGCCTTTCTTTAAGGTCTTTGGCTAGACTGTCTTAAAGAAATTTATTTTTCAAGGGTGAAGGAATTTTGGGTGTAATCCTTCAACAGGTCTTCAATAATTCTACTCTCTTCAATGATTTTGATTATTTCAAGTTGAATTTTATCAAGACTTGAAAGAATCAAAGCAGCATGATTTGGCGATGGCATGGTAATGGCTTGAGGCGGCGCCGCAAAGGCTCGTGGTGGCTCGGTTGGGCGCGCGGATGGCTTGTTATAGGCCGGGCATGGCCGGCATGGTGCGCGGACAAGGCCGGGCATTGCTTGGTGTCGGCTCGATGGGAAGCTCGCATGGCCGGTTGCGAAGTGCTGGTGGCGCGGTTTGGTGCGGACATGGCATGGCATGGCGCGGATGGATGCGCGGAAGGGGCGGACAAGGCCGAGCATGGCATGGGCGGCATAGCGGCTGGCACGGGACATGGCGCGGATTGAGCAGGCAGGGCCGAGCATGGCCGGGCAGGAGGCGCGGTAGTGGCTTGGCTCATCCGGGCATGTGGCGCGGCATGGGCTGGTGTCGTCCGGACAGGTGGCTCGGGTGGCCGGGCTGTGGCCGGGCTAGGCGCACGGGCTTGAGCTGTCTTAGCCGGTGTTGGCCGGGCTATGGCCGGGCAAGATGGCTTGTGCGGCACGGGCTTAGCCGGGCTGAGTCCTTGAACAGCTTCCTTCGGTGTATTGATTATCATCTGGGCAAAATTCTCCAATATCTCGTATATGTCAGCAGTGCTGTGATCGAACAGGGGAATATAGATGAGAGTGTCGACAGACAATCGATCAGAAGCTCTTAATCCTTGGCAGAAGTTTTGAGCCAATCTTCTTTGATCATAACCATGATAAGGGTGAGCAACACATAGCTTCTTAAACCTTTGCCAAAATTGGGGAAAATTCTCCACTTGGCGTTGAAGAATGCTTCCAACTTTAGTTCTATGTTTAAGATCTATATCTAGCTTCTTGGTTGAATTGCTTGGTCGGTTGATCTTCTGGGATGGTTGAACTTCTTTGTTGTTGACTTCTTTCTCCTTCTTGGCTTCTTTCGCTCGATCTTTCTTCTTTCTAAAGCTAGGGGGCTAAATTGCTTTAGACAAGGCTTCCAATGCAGGCAATATTGGTGAAAAATCTTCAATAGCTCCTTTCTTAACAAACTTAGAACTTATAACATAAACAAAATTGTTAGATTTCAAAGGCACTTGAGATGAAATTCTAGGGTGGATGACTTCACCATCGAATTCCATGATCAATGAACCATTGAATACATCAATCTTGGTATGAGAAGTCTTTAGGAAAGGTCTTCCTAATAAAAGAGGGCATTGATCTTTCGAATACTCCATATCCATGATGAATATATCGATAGGAAAAATTAGATGCTCAATTTTAATTAAGATATTCTCTAAAACACCTTTGGGATAAACCAAAGATCCGTCAGCTAATTGCAGGATAACATCAGTATTTTTCAAAGAACCAAGATTTAAAGATTTGTAGAAAGAATAAGGCATCACGCTTAAAGAAGCACCTAGATCAAGCATCGCATTCTCTATAATACTTCTTCCAATAGAACAAGTAATAGAAAACGTACCTGGATCTTTTCATTTAGGAGGTAAACTCTTTTGAAGCACAGCAGAGACAATAGCTCCAGCGCTTACCTTACCTTACAAGAAGAGATTTGGGTTAAATCCGGAAGAGATTACAAGGTAAGGTAAGCGCTTACGTAGGGCAACTTTGGGATTAATGCCAGCGCTGGCATTAAATCCGGATTTAATCTCAAAGTTTCCATTAGTATTTGCGTAACGAATGGCTAAGCGTTTGGCATTGACGTTTGGTGCAGCTAACTCTCTCAGAGTTTTGGGTTGTTCTTCTTCAGCCATGTCTTCTGACGATGTTGAAACAGCAGATCTAGGAGAACTAGGTTGAAAACTTGAATTGGATGACTCCTCTTCTAGTAATCGGCTTTGTGTTTTCTTCTTCTTCTGAATTAGTGTTCTTTCAGGCTCAGGATTAAATTCTAAACCTTCAATACCACTACTTCTTGTCTTTGGCATGCAGTTTCCTAGAAAAATCAAACAAAACTAATAAGAAAAATTAGCAGTAACAGTTCTTAAATAAAATAAAAAGCAGAAACAGAAAATAAAAATATTTTTTTTATTTGAAAAAAAAACGGAAACAAAAAATTATTTTTTTTCAAAAATTGGAAACCCTAATATTTTTTTTTAAATCGCAAATTTTTTTTTTTTAGAAAAATCGGAAAAAGGAATTTTTTTTTTAAAGAAAAAAACGGAAAAAAACAAAAACTAATTCTTGGATCTAATCTCTCTTCACTTTCTCTCAATTCAATTCCCTTCCCCGGCAACGACGCCAAAATTTATGATCGTGTCGTCTATGACCATAAAAATAATCCCCACAATAAACTAACTAGAATAGCTAGGGCAAGTAGGGGCCGAATCCCACAGAGAAGGGTTATGTGATAAACGATAGAGAATAAAGAAAAATCTTTTCCAAAAATCAAATAGAAAACAGGGGATTGTGAATATCAATTATAAAGAAAACAATTAAACTAAAAATAAAGCAAAGCAAATTAAATCTAAAATAGAATATAACGCAAACAATAATTATAAAGCATACTTCTTCTCCGATGGTATGATTCGATCAGATTAACTATGGATCATCGACTTAAAAGGTGAATTAAGCATCTTATTCTTGACTGACAACTGATATAGGTTTCCCAACATGTATTTTAGATAAGAGGCCAATTAAAGTTGCAGTTATCCCTTTTATTCCTTCAGCAATCGATTACTTTCTTAGGACTTAAAGATCACTTAAGAACAAAGCATTAAGATTAATTAATTTTACACACATGCCTACAAAGTAGAACCATACGAAGAGAAATTTCTTGCCCTCCGATAGACAAATACCCATTAAGCAGCGATTAAACAAACCTAATTTGCTACACACAATCAAACTTGAGTGATTAATTCTAAGCTTGATCTAGCCATAGATCTTCTTCTTACATCGTTAGTGGCCACATAACTCAAATAAGATTCAGAATCATAAAATTATTCTAGGGTTTTGACTACTATCATCAAGAACTTAACACAAAATTATAAGTATAGAAATCTCACCATAATCAATTGATTGAATTCACCAAAGGATCAGAAGTATTAAGGATTTAGCTACTCATGGACTTAGAAAAATCCATGAGAGGCATAAGAATACTTACAGAACAAAGGAGGAACGATTTCTCCTCCTTGAAACCCTAGGGACGTCGCACTCCTCTATGGCTAGAGAGGGTGTCGACTTCTCCCTCTTCTAAAACTAGAGAAAACTTAAAAACTAAAGAAAGGTAGAAAAAGAGAATTATCTAAAATTTGTGATGTGTAAAGTTGTGTGATTTGTGATACAGGAGGTGGCTTTTTATAGTGCAGGAATAGGGTAGGACGTTTTAGAGGCTAACTTAGACTCCAAGTTGGAGTAGGTGTCATCCTAGAGTAGAATCCAAGTCAAAAGAGGATTCTGGAATTTTCT